ACATCTTTGGCTTTCCATTCCTGTCGAGGAAACAGACGAAGTGGCTTGCCCAAGGTCACACAGCCAGAGGGGCAACATTGGAGTTAAAAACCAGGTCTCCTGGGCTCCAGACCAGTGGGTGAAATTCAGACTGTGCCCTTGCCCATTTACTCTCTGTGTGAACTGGGGCCAGCGATCAGGCCTCCCTGTGCCTCAGTTTCTTCATCAGCACACCAGGCTGAATAAGATCTCCCGGGGCTGGGGCTGTGGTAAGGCTGAGATGGCTGACTTCACGGCTGGGCAAGAAGGAGCTGGTGTTTCCAGAACTGTACTTCCTCAAAACGACTTCAGTGGAAAGGGGGCGCCCCTCACTTCACAAACCCAGGCTCTGGCTGGCAAGGTGCCCCTTCTTTCACCAGTAACAGAATGACCGCAAGTCTGGGGGAGCCACAGACTGTCAGGGTGAGGACAGTTTGGGGGGCATCTGGGTCCACTGTTTTCACTCCTGAGTAGGAGCTCAAATTCAGCCTTTGCCCTTGACTTGCTGTGTGACCTTGGGAAAGGACTTTACCATCTGAATCTCAGTTTCCACATCTGTAGCAGGGCTATTCATTCCATGTTGATTGAGGATCTTTAGCCTGTGACTGAAGATAGACCCAGTCTCTGCCTCCAGCAGTTCTCAGACTAGAGGCTGAGGAAGAAATAGCAAGTAAAGAGATATGATAATTCCAGATGGTGACCCACAGGGCATGAAGAAAAAAGGGACCCTGGGGACAGGGAAGCCCTCTTGGAGGAGATGACATTTGAGCAGAGGCCTAAATGAAGTGAGAGGGGATGGTATGTGGGTGTCTGAAGGGTGAGGGTGATAAGCAGAGGGAACAGCCAGTGCAAAGGTTCTGAGGTGGGAGTGTGTCTGATGTGTTAGAGAAAAAGTCGGGAGGCAAATGTGGCCAGGGCAGAGTGGGCAAGGGGTGAGTGAAGGGAAATGAGGCTGGGAGGTGATGGGGTGGCTCGTGTAGGGCCTGTAGGCGGTGGTCAAGGTTGGCCTTGGGCCTCCATTTACATCTAACTTCCTAGGAAGGGACAAAGTTCACTGGGCTGAAAGGAAAGTCCACTGGCTCCCAGTCCATGGCGTCAGACCACTGGGTTTATAACCCAGGTCTGCTCCTTTCAAGCTGAGTGTCCCTGGCCAAGTCATTTCTCTCTGGGCCTTGGCCTTCCCATCTCTGAAATGGGCCTCTAAGGAACCATAATTCCCAAAGTCTGATGTGAAGGAACAGCAAAACAATTCAGGGACATCTAAGGGCAGGTAAAACATGAATGTCTTTCCTTTCTGTTTGTATGTGAACCAAGGGATCCTGGTGGCTGCGATGAGTCTTAACCAGTTTAGAGCAGGAGTTGTCACCCCAGAGCAATTCTGTTCCCCAGGGGGTAGGTGGCAGTGGCTGGAGACATTTTAGTTGGCATGACTGAGGGGCTGCTACTGTCATCTTGTAGGGAAAGGCCAGGGATTCTGCTACTGCTAAGAGCACACAGGACTGCCCCTAGGACAAAAGATTATCAGGTGCCAAATGTCAATAGTGCCCAGGTTAGGAAACCCTGCATTCCCAACGAGTGGTGTTACCTGTGTGGGTGCAAAGTTTGGCTCTTGGGGTAGATGTGCAGAAAAAAATTATCTACAAAGCCCCATATACATATAGTACATAAATATACAGTGTATCTGTGGTATTAACATTTCATAGAGGACTGGGGGGAGGGATGTCTAAAAAGCTTCTCCTTAGGGAGGCACTAATGAAATACAGGGTGACAAATGCTGGTCTAGAGCCTGGACCAGCCACTCTCAGGCTGTGTGACTTTGAGCAGGTTGTGTCTCTCTAAGACTCCGTCTTCCCAATCTGTAAAGTAGGGACAACACTTTGCAGGTGTTTTGTGAAGATTGAATGAGATCATAGCTAGAGGTGCCAAGTCTCAGGGAGCACTCTGAAGGTTTGCTGCTGTAATCGTGGTCATTGTCATCATCTGTGTCCCCTGACTAGAACAGGGGCTGGCACATTACAAGCTCTTCACAAGTGTTCTGTTAAATAAGTTATAAATAACGACTCACATTCAGTGAGTGCTTACTATGTCCAGACACATTTCTGAGCCGTTTATGTGCCCATCCATGAGGTGTGTAGTATGAAACCCATTTTATAATTGGGAAAACGGGTTTGGTGAAATGACGTGACTGTCCCAAGGTCAAATGACTAGGTGCCAGAGGCCAAACTTGAGACTGGGCCATCCGACTCTGGACCCCATGATAGTGGAGCCAACAGGCAGAAAAGCATTTACAGAGGTAGTACCCTAAAACAGAGATTGGCCCATTTTTCTTATTTAAAACAAGCTTCTCCCCCTTTTCTAACCCCTAAAAAGCACAGACAGGTTGGAGTAGGCTCCAGAATTATAACCAGGTAGCTGACTTTGTTCAAGGGTGTTCACCTCTCCGAATCCCAATTTCCTCATCTGTGAAGAGGGGCAACAGGCCCCCCAGAGTCACAGTGGTTGTGCATACAGAGCCACCACAGGGGGCGGGGCCCAGAAAGTCCTCATGCCTGTGCACAACTGCGCCTGCATGGGAGTCCACACTGAGGGGAGGTTGGGTCTTGGGGTTACCTCATGAGCTGTGAGGGCCCCCATTCTAAGAGGTGCCTCAGAGATTCTAAGGAGTGTCTTGGGGAGGTGAGCACACTCAGATCACCCAGGGGTGCCTGAGTTGTAAGGCATGTCTCAGAAGCTGAGGTGGGTAATCTGGGGAGTTATCCAGGATTGTGGGTGCATCTTGGATTCTGGGAGTAGCCTAGGGTTGTAGAACTGTCAGGAGTTGTGCCCCTGGGATTTATTGGGCACCTCAGGATTTGGGGGGCATCTCCATGTTATGGGAGGACTCTCTGAGTCTCAAGGTACCCCTGAGATTATGTTAGGGAATCTCTGCATTTGTGGAGCCACTCAGGGATCAGGGGAACTCTGAAGGAATGTGAAAGCATCTGGGGATCTGTGAAGGACCCTAGAGTTCCCGGGTCTTCATGCCCATGTCTGTGCATATGGTTTGTGGCTGTGGGAGATTCCAGCAGCACTCTGAGCGGTCTCTGCACGACTCAGGGGACAAGGGGGACATCTGAGGGGCTGTAGCAGTGGTCCTGGGATCCAGATGAAGGAGTTTCTTATGGTTCTCAGAGCACCCCAGTCATTTGTAGGTGCATCATGGAATTTTTGGGTGCCCTTGAGGTTTGTGCAGATGTCTCAGTAACAATGAGGACACCACTAAGGGACATCTGGGAACCTCTCAGAACCCAGGGATTTGGGGGAGTATCCTTGGGTTGTGTGAGGGCGTCTCAGGGATAAGAGGGCACTCTCTGGGATTGTGGGGATGTCTGCAGGATTTGGCCGCCTCCCCGCCCCCCCCCCCACCCCGGGGTCTGTGAAGCCTCTTGACACCTTTAGGGGTTGTGAGAATGCCCCATAGATTTTTGGGAGTGTGCCAGGTGTTTGTAGAGACGCTTCCGGAGAGTGTGAGGACGTCAGAGGGACTTCGGGGTGTCCCCGCTGCTGCCCTGCGGGCGTCCCAGTCCCGCCCCGCCCCAGGGGCGGCCCTAGCGGGAAGCCGGAAGGGCCGAGGCGGCCGGGCGGGGTGGGGCCCGTGGGCCCCAGGGCTGGGCGCCCGCCTGCATGGGCCGTGTGGGGCGGGCGGGCGGTGCTGCTCCCCAGCGCCCACAAGGCCGGGCCGCGCCCCTCCGCCCCCACCCCCGGCTATGGCGCGGCCCCGCCGCCTGGGCTGCATCCCCGAGCTGCAGCTGGCGGCCTTCCCGGCGGCGGTGGCGGAGGACGAGGCATTCTTGCCGGAGTCCCTGGCCCCACTGGCTCCCTGCTGGCCACGTTCACCTCCCTCCTCGCCCGTCTTCTTCGCCAGCCCGTCCCCAACTTTCCGTAGGCGCCTTCGGCTTCTCCGCAGTTTCCAGGATTTCGGCCGCCAGGCGTGGGCTGGGTAAGTGTGCCCAGGTGGTTGCGGGTTCGAATCTCACCTGGCCACCTGGAGTGCGTAGATGTCTGGAGTTCGTAGCTGGCTCTGTCCAGCCTCTTTTTTCCTCTTCAGTCACAAGACGGCGATAAAAAATCATTCCTGCCCGCCAGGGTTGCCGTGGAGACATCTGATATGGCATGCAGTAGGCGCTCAATAAACTCCACACTCCTCCCATTTCCTGCAGCCTGAGGCTGCGGTCAGGCTTTGAGCGTGCGAGGCCAATCTGCCACCCAGGGTGATCTGAGCGCACGTGTTCAGTTCTGTTGGCCTCGGTCTACGGTCTGTGAAATGGGACCAGCGCTGCGCTCGGTATTGCTTTGCCATCAGGCTCCCTCCTGGGCACCGCGTGCACCTGGCACCGAGGCAAATGGAAGTTCCCTTCCTGGACATACCCGGGTCGGCTGCAGAGGCATGCCGGGACAGAATAAAGGGACAATAAATGTCCCTTTATTCTGGAAACGGAGGTTGGCAGCCTGGGCACAGGCTGGTGCTGGGGATTCTTAGGAGTCGGGAGAGGGTCTTCTGCTGGCCACTTTACCCTTTCTTTACCCCTACTCTCCGTACTCACTGGTTTATTACCAGAGTCCGGAGACACAGACTGCGAGAGGGTGCTCCGGGGACAGGACGTGAACCCGGCGGAAGAGCTAGGGGCAGAGAGAGAAGAGGAGGGTCGGGGCCTCTGGGAGCCCCGCATGGGGCCGGGGAGGGAGTGGGGGTAGGAATCAGTTCCTCTCTACGTTTTCTCTCAATGTCTCTGTCCCCTCTTCTCTCTGTTTCTTCTGTTTCTGTTCCACCCCGCCTCTCCCAGCTCCACCTCCGGCATCCGTTGTCCCTCCCCCGGGTTTTTGTCACCCGACCCCGCACTCCGCCCGCCGGGTGCGGGCGTCCTGTCCCTCCAGGAGCACAAGGCGCTGAGATACTTCCAGAGGGCACACACAGCTAGGCGTCAGGACTGGGAGGGGGTGAAGGCGGAGCCAGAGGCGGAGGTAGGAGATGAGGGTGGTCCCGAAGCTTGGGAAACCGAAGCCCCGGGAACTACCCCACTCCACCCCGCGCCTCCCGGGAGAAGGGAGGTTGGTGGAAAGTGTGCGCAGAGTTCTGCCAAGCCCCACAGGAGGAGGCAAGCTTGGAGCCCGCCCTGGAGCTGCTGCAAACTTGAGGACGCCCAAACGCCCATGGCCTGGGGAGTCACCGGGGAGGGCGGGTGTGGAGGCGGTGCCGCTGCGGGCAACCACAGACACCTCAGGCCTGGCGAGCAGTGTGCGCAATACCACGGTGCGTGCAGCCGTCCCCATGCGCGCCCGGAGGGCGCTCGGCGCCCGTGCGTTCCAGTGCAGCCCACCGGGCCCGCCCTGGCCCCGGACCCCTGCCCTAGCACTGTCCTCTTCGGGCCCTGAATCCCTGGTCCACTTCTCCTTCAACGACGAGGACATCTGTTGGCACCCTCCAGGCAGATCTGTCAGGTGGGTGGCCCGAGGCCAGTCCCCTCCTTTTCCACCAAAGGGCTCTGGCTGAGCGGTTGGGGGGGTGCCCAATCTGCCTTGGGGAGTCTCTAAAGTGGTTTTCAGCATCTGCCTGGAGCCCCATCCCCTTCCCTGGTCCTAAACATCTGGGTGCTTCTGAGGGCTTCCTGCAGGTGGTGTCTCTGAAAATGGGTGCTGGGTCCTGCCCCTTAGTGCCTACCCAAGATGGGATCCCTTCACCCTCTTCATACCCCTAAACCTGGGCTTCTGGCATTCACCCTGGGAGCAACTATGAGTGTCCAGTGTCACCTGGGCTCCACTCCCAGGCCACCAGCCTCTAGCCAGGTCCTTCAGGCCTTACCCTTCCTTCCTCCTTGCTGGGGCTGCCAAGCTGAAAACCAAGCTGGGACGGGTGTGGGGAGGAGGTTCCTCTGGAACTCCTGGGGGGTAGTTAGAATCTACTGGAGAGTGGTAGGGTGGAAAAGTGGCCTTTAGGTTCTCAGAATTATTGGGGTACTCTAGCAATATTCTTGGTCCCCCTCAGACACCTGGATACACACATTTCACTTACACAGCTACATATGACACAAACAGACACACCCACACACAGAGTAGTCGGGATCTCCTGGCTGGTGGGGACACAGAGAACCCCAAAGTTGACCATGGCCCTGGGGGCACACAGAAGCCCTGGCCTTCTACAGCCTCTCTATGCTGCACTGCCTGCAGGAACACACTCTCCCTGCAACCCATGCCCAGGCCCAATTCCCACCTGCACATGGCCGCACACAGGAGCACACCTCACACCCACTCAGGAAGCAGGGACCGTCTCAGCACACGTGTGAGGCCCACAGGCACACCCGCACACACTCCATGGACTCAAAGACACAGATCTGCACAAGCTCTGTGAACACCCAAACCCCACTCAAACACACAGGTGTGGAAATCCACACAGACCACCTACATGCATGGGTGCCCTGGAACAGCCTCCTACAGTTAACCCCATTGACAACTGTGTCACCTGGCGCCTGCCCTTAACCTCTGTGTGACCTTCACAAAACAAATGCCAGGCCTTTCCATGAAGGCTGCCTGGCACCTCCTACGAGGGAGTCAGTCGGAGTGGGACAGAGCCTGGGGAGATGCCAAGCCTGCCTGGGGGGAGACAGACCCCAGTGATTGAGCATGCAGATTTGTAGGGCTCCCCGGGTTTGCACCCTTGTTCTGTCACCAGACACATTTGATATTTATCCTCTCTGTGTCTGTCTGTCTGTCTCTCTCTGGAAAATGGGATGAGTGTGTGTGTCCAGGCACAGCACAGTGCCTAATGTGTGGCATTCCAGAGCAGTTGGCTACTTCCATTGTTGTTATGGTTTTACCAACTGAGACATGTCTCCTTTGGTTGCCACTCTCCAATCCTCACCCCAGCTTGTTCATTTCCCACTCGGCCCTGCAGCAGAATTCTCTGAGTCCTGATTCTGTCCCTGGGCTGCACAGTCCTCCAGAGGGCCAATTTGATGCTCAAAAACCCAGGCAGACAGGACTAGAGGGGTCATGGCAGGTAGCAACTTGACCTGAGAATGCCACCAAGTGGTCAGCCTATTCCCGGGAGAGTCTTGTGCAGGTCATTTCCCTTCTGGTGGAGCGTCTGGGCATGTAGCTGTGATGTCAGGGCTTCTTGGCTGTCCTTGACTCTAGTTTGTGGCTTTGTGTCCCACTGGGACATCTCTAGTGCAGCCTCCAGCCTGATTTGGGGTCACCCTGAGCTGCAGGCCAGGAAGGGGTGCAATTCTCACAGCCTGGGGGTCCACTTCTGAGGGGTAGCTGAGACCCCCTCACTCTCAGGCTACAATTCAACAGGCCGAATCTCCCATCTCCCCTTCTGCAGCCTAGGGGACATGTCTCCTGGAAGCACAAACAGTGGGGCCCCAGGGAGCCTCTTCCCATCCCTGCCTCTGGGCTCCTGCTTATAGTGAGTTGAGTCCCCTGGGGCTGCAGTATCTGCTCCAGATGCTACTAGTTTGCCCTCTGGGACTTGGGTCTCACCTTCCCTGAACTGCACTTCAGTTCCTGGGGCAGGGGAGGGGTCCCCTCTACATTGATAGCTCCACTCCCCTAAACAGTGGCATTCAGAAGAACCCCAAAATCCAGGCTGGACCTTGGGAGACAGGACAGGATTTTCAGGCAACGAGGCTACCAACCCCTTGCTGCCCTTCTGTGCCTGTCTTCTTAGTGAACCAAGATGTTAACAGAACCCAACTCACAGAGTTGGTGGGAGACATACTGGGCTCATGTGCATAAAGCACTCGACAATGCCATGCCAAGTGCTCAGTAAGTGTGTTGTTATCACTATACACCTGAAAGGGTTAACCTGGCACCCAGCACACAGCAGGTGCTCAGTAACCGGGCTTTATCTTCAAAGGCTCAAGTTCTTGATTAAGTATTCCATCTTAAGAATGTGTGTTTTTTTAATTTCTTTCAAAGGTTAACATATTAAAGTCTTCCTTTACATTATACATTTATATGAAATTTTTACTGTGGTAATATATAAATAACATAAAATTTCCATTAATCATTTTTGAGTATATGATTTGTATCAAGTGCACTCACATTGTTGTGAAGCCATCACAACCATCCACCCCAGAACTTTTTCATTCTCGAAAACTGAAACTGTTCCCGTTAAATACTAACTTCCCTGGTACTCACCATTCTACTTGCTATCTCTATGAATCTGACTCCTCTAGGGATCTCGTATGAGCAGAATTGCACCAATCCACAACAGATTGCATCATTTGTTGAAAAGACTCCTTTTCCCATTGAATGGTCTTGGTACACATGTCAAAAATATTTTGACTGTATATATGAGGCTTTATTTCTGGGCTCTCTAATGGATTCCATTGGTCTACATGTCCTTTTTTATTTGACTTATTTCATTTACCATGTTTTCAAGGTTCATCCATGTTATAGCACGTGTCAGAATTTCCTTCCTATTTAAGACAGAATAATATTCCTTTGTATGTATATCCACCACTCTATTCCAGTCACCCACTGATGGACCATGAGTTATTTCCACCTTTTGGCTCTTGTGAATAATGCTGCTATGGACATTGGTGTACAAGTAACCGAGTCTTTGCTTTCAATTCTTTGGAGTGTACATATATACCTAGAAGTAGAACTGCTGGATCACATGATGCAGTCAAACCTTGGTTCTTGAATGTCTCCCATCTTGAACCATCTTGATCTTGAACAATTTGGTTCTTCAACAGCCTTCCAGAACAAATTAACTTCAAGAACCAAAGTTCCACTGTAATTCTATACTTATATTTCTTTTTTTAAATTTTATTTATTTATTTTTAGAGAGGGGGGAGGGAAGGAGAAAGAGAGGGAGAGAAACATCAATGTGTGGTTGCCTCTCACACATCCCCCATTGGGGATCTGGCCTGCAACCCAGACATGTGCCCTGACTGGGAATCTAACCGGTGACCCTTTGATTCACAGGCTGGCACTCAATCCACTGAGCTACACCAGCCAGGCTTTTTCTGGTTGCTGTTTCTTTTAAGATTTTATTTATTGCCCTGGTGTGGCTTGGTGGATTGGGTGTCATCCCACAAACCAAAAGGTTGCTAGTTCAATTCCTGGTCAGGGTACATGCCTGGGTTGTGGGCCAGGTCCCCCATTGGAAGCATGCAAGAGGCAACTGATTGATATTTTCTCTTTCACATCAATATTCCCTCCTCTCTCTTTCTTCCTCCCTTCCCCTCTCTCTAAAAATAAGTAAATGCTTTTTTAAAATGCAACTGATTTTTGAATATTAATTTTTGTATCCTGCTATTTTACTAATTCACTTATTAGTTCTAATAGTTCTATGGAATCCTTAGGGTTCTCTCTCTATAGTATCATGTCATCTGCTAATAACAGATTTACTTCTTCCTTTTCAATTTCCTTTTATTTCTTTTTCTTGTCTGATTGCTGTGGCTAGGACTTTTAATACTATGTTGAATAAAAGTCATGATAATGGACTTCTCTGTCTTGTTCTTGGTTGTAAGGAAAACACTTTTAGCTTTTCACCACTGAGTATGATATTAGCTGTAAAGTTGTCATATATGACCTTTATTATGTTGAGATAAATTCCATTTCCACTTTGCTGAGAGTTTTTATTGTAAATAGATGCTGGTTTTTGTAAAATACTTTTACCGCATCTATTGAAAAGATCATACAATTTTTATCCTTCATTATGTTATGTGGCACATTATGTAAGTTTTTGTGTATTAAACTTACCTTGCACCCCAGGAATAGGTCTCACTTGATCATGGTGTTTGCTCTTTGTAATGTATTGCTGAATTGGGTTTGCAAGTATTTTGTGGAGGATTTTTGCACCTATGTTCATCAGGGATAATGGCCTATAGTTTTCTCTCTCAGTGTCTTTGGTTTTAGAATTAAGGTAGTGCTGTGCTCATAAAATGAGCTTGGGACACTTCTCTAGAATTTTTTTGGAATAGTTTGAGAAAAATGTTTGAATGTTGGGTAAAATTTACCTGTGAAGCCAGCAGTCCAGGACTTTTGTGTGTTGGGAGTTGTTTTTTATTGCTGATTCAGTTTTGCTAGTAGTTATTGGTCTGCTCAAATGTCCATTTCCTCTTGACTCAGTCTTGGAAGATCGTATATTTCTAGCAATTTATCCATTTCTTCCAGATTGTCCAATTTGTTAGCACATGATTATTCATAGTATTTTCTTATAATCTTTTGTGGCGTCAATTGCCACTTCTTTCATTTTGATTTTATTTATTTGGATCCCTTTTTTCTTGATGAGTGTTGTTAAAGTTTTATCATTTTTATGTATCTTTTAAAAACACTAGCTCTGGGTTTGATTTTATCTTTTGTGTTGTTTTCTTAGACTCTATTTTGTTTATTTCCACTCTGATCTTTATTATTTCCTTCTTTCTACTCACTTTGGGCTTTGTTTGTCCTTATTTTTCTAGTTCCTTTAGGTATAAGGTTAGATTGTTTATTTGTGATTTTTCTTGTTTCTAGAGGTAGGCCTGTAATACTATGAATTTTCCTGTTGGGACTTCTTTTATTGTGTCCCATAGATTTGGGGCCATTGTATTTTCATTTTCATTTGTCTCAAGATATTTTTTTTTCCTAAGGAAGATTGTAGGCCTAGGTTTACAAACATTTTTATTTTTTTTTCATTTCATTTCATTTCATTTCATTTCATTTCATTTCATTTCATTTCATTTTCAGAGAGAGGGGAAGGGGAAGAAGAAAGAAAGAAAGAAACATCAATGTGTGGTTTCTTTCCTTTCAAGGGCCCCCTACTGGGGACTTGGCCTGCAACCCAGGCATGTGCCCTGACTGTCTCAAGGTATCTTTTAATTTGTTCCTTGATCTGCCCTGGCTGGTGTGGCTCAGTGGACTGAGTGCCGCCTGTGAGGGTTACAGGTTGGATTCCCAGTCAAGGCACATGCCTGGGTTGCAGGCCAGGTCCCTAGTTGGGGGTGTGCGAGAGGCAACCACACATTGATGTTTCTCTCCCTCTTTGTCTCCCTGAGATGGATTGTCTTCTCTTTGTGATGTCTTCCTCTTGCTCCAAAAATAAATAAATAAAATCTTCAAAACATTTTCTTCTATGATCTTTATTAACTTTTTTCCTCTGTTTTTCTATTTTTTTTTCTTGTTAACTTCTTTATTGCTTAATAGCATGTTATTTAGCCTTCGGTTTTGTGTGTTTTTCAATGTTCTTGTAATTAATTTCTAGTTTCATACCATTGTGGTTAGAGAAGATACTTGATATGATTTCAATCTTCCTAAATTTATTGAGACTTGTTTTGTGACCTAACATGTGTTCCATCCTGGAAAATGTTCCATGTGTGCTGGAAAAGAATGTATATTGTACTGTTTTGTGATGAAATGCTCTAAAAATATCAATTAAATCCATCTGGTCTAATGGGCCATTTAAGGCCACTGTTTCCTTGTTGATTTTCTGCCTGGATGATCTATCCAGTGATATCAATGGGGTGTTAAAGTCCCCTACAATTACTACATTAGATCTTTTCCTTTAAATTCATCAATAGTTGCTTTATATATTTATGTGCCTCTACATTGAGTGTGTAACTGTTTACAAGAGTTATATCCCATTGTTGAATTGATCCCTTTATCATTATGAAATGTCCTTCTTTGTCTCTTTGTTATAGCCTTTGTTTTAAAGTCTACTTTGTCTGGTATATGTATTGCTACCTCAGCTTCTTTTTTGTTTCTATTTGCGTGAAGTATCTTTTTCCATCCTTTTACTTTTAGTCTGTGTGTCTTTTGATCCAAAGTGGGTCTCTTGTAGACAGCATGGCTCTTGTATGGGTCTTATCCATTCAGCCACTGTAGCTTTTGATTGGAACAGTTAATCCATTTACATTTAAGCGACTATTGATAAGTACATAGTTATTATCATTTTATTATTCATTTGTATATTCTTTCCCCCCCTTCTTTCTCTTAAAGAAGTTCCTGTTACATTCTTGTAATACTGGTTTGGTAGTGATAAACTCCTTTAGCTTCTTCTTGTCTGGGAAGTTCTTTATCTCTCCTTCGATTCTAAGTGATAGCCTTATGGATAGCATAGTCTAGTTCATAGGTCCCACTTTGAATATTTTGTGCCAGTCCCTTCTTGCCTGCAAAGTTTCTGTTGAGAAATCAGCTGACAGTCTTATCGGAGCTCCCTTGTAGGTAATTTACTGCTCTTCTCTTGCAGTTTTTAAAATTCTCTTTTGTCTTTAACCTTTAGCATTTTAATTATGCTGTGCCTTGGTGTGAGTATCTTCAGATTTATCTTGTATGGGATTCTCTGAGCTTCCTAGACTTGTATATCTATTTCCTTCACCAGGTTAGGGAAGTTTTCAGTCATTATTTCTTCAAATAGCTTTTCAAACCCTTGCGCTCTCCCTCTTCTCTCTCTGGTATCCTTTTGATGTAAATGTTCATATGGTTGATGTTGTTCCAGAGGTCCCTTAAACTGTCCTCACTTTTCTTCATGATGAAACTCGTTTGGTAATTTATTTTTAAATTACAATACTAATGAAGAATCTCAAATATACAAATATGGAGTCTAGTATAACAAACATCCATTTGCCTTCTTTACTTATCTTCCTCTATCCATTCACAAACTTCCTCAGAGGTAACCTTTATCATGACTCTGTGTTTAAAAGCATGCCTGAAGAGCCCTGGCTGGTGTTGTGGATTGAGCACCAGCCTAAGAACCAAAGAGTCACCAGTTCGATTCCCAGTCAGGGCACATGCCTGGGTTGCAGGCCAGGTCCCCAGTGCGGGGGTGCACAAGATACAACCACACATGGATGTTTCTCTCCCTCTCTTTCTCCCACCCTTCCCCTCTCTCTAAAAATAAATAAATAAAATCTTTAAAAGAAAAGCAGCCTCTGAAAGTAGATTGGGTGATGTGCTGAAGTTTGTTTTTATTTATTTTTTTTATTTTGGGTTTTTTTCCTGAAGTTTGTTTTTAAAGAAGTTTGAATTTTTTACTTTAAAATTTCTGGTTTCTCCTGGCTGGCGTAGCTCAGTGGATGGAGCGCGGGCTGGGAACCAAAGTGTCCCAGGTTCGATTCCCAGCCAGGGTACATGCCTGGGTTGCAGGCCATAACCCCCAGCAACTGCACATTGATGTTTCTCTCTCTCTCTCTCTCTCCCTCCCTTCCCTCTCTAAAAATAAATAAATAAAATCTTTAAAAAAAAATAAAAAAAAATAAAATAAAATTTCTGGTTTCTTTCCTAAAATTGGAATATCTGATTACTCTGGGCCCCAGCTCCACTCTGCTTTCGGTGTTGGTGTTGGTTGCCTGGCCCTTTTTAACCTTTTTTTCTAATGGAAGTAATATGTTCTGATGGGGGCCATATGTTCTGGGGGCAGAGGGCACCAGTTAATGTTTTGGTCTAAGGAGCCACAAGACCTGGTTTTGAATTCTAACCCCATCATGGTCTTGCTGTGTGACTCAGAACTGATAACCATTCTCCTCTCTGAACTTTGTTTTTCCTCTGTAAGAGTCAGTGAAGTCCCTCCATCCTCCCCACACCTCAGAAGTAGACTAGAAATACAGCTCAAGATATGGCAGGTGTCATCACTTGCCTGTTCTAGGAGACTTCAGACTTATTTCTTAGTAGGGGAACTATTCAAATACCATCTTATGCTGACTTGCAATTGGTAGGACTGGAAAGGAGGGCTTCCGTTTCCTCCCCCTACTCCTTTGGACCCCCCAGAGGGTGGCCTGAAGTCTACTCACTAGTCTTACCCCCTCCCTGTAACAGTGGTGAGAGCAGCCAGTGGCCTTCTCACACTGCAGGCACACAACTCCCATTCTCAAACTCAGTTCTCCGTGTCAACTGCCTTGCTGAGTCCACTCCCCAAGTGGCACGTATGGAGCTGGGGGACTTAGAATTGCCAGTATTTTCTGAGTTCTGTGCCAGGCACATGGTTCTGAGCATTTTACCTGTGTTAATGCTACTCACCTGGATGACTTGAGGCAGGTGGTTGTTGTGTTCATTGTGTGGATAAGGAAACTGAACCTCAGTTATTTTCTCCAAGTCAGATAGCTGGGAAGTGGTATGTAGCCAGCATCTCCCTGCTTCACCCTAAGGTCTTGGTCTTGCCAGTGCCCCCAGGCAGGGGACCCCTGTCTCCCTTCTCTGTAGCTGTGTCTCTGTCCTAGGCTGTGTCTCCATTCCAGCCACACCAGCTTCCCTGCTGGCCCTAAAAAGAAACCCAAATCCTGCCCCAGAGCTTTTGCTCTTGCTGTCCCCTCACGCAGGCGTGCTCCCTCCCACCTCCTGACCCACGGCCTTCCTTGCCAGCTTTCCGGCTCCGCTCAGATGTCCCCTCCTCAGACAGGCCTGCTTCCACTGAAGCAGCCGAAATCAGCTCTCCAGTCAGTGGCAGTCATCCACCCAGTTTAATTTCTGTAAGGCACAATCCGGTTCATGCGTTCATGTGTTCATTTACATATATTATGATTCATTCAGTAAACATTTGCTGTGTGTCCACTGTGTGCCAGGCCATGTTCTTGGCCCTAGTGATACAGCAGTAAACAAAAGCAGAGAAAAATCCCTGATCCGCAGTACTTCGTTCTATAAGGGAAAGCAAACAATGCGGAAGTTAAATATAGATTATGTTCAAGAGGTACAGTTGCTTTAAGAAAGGGAAATATGAAATATCTGGGCAGGCGTGGGGGTTTTAGACACACTGATCAAGGGCGGCCTTCCTGAGGAGTCAGCATTTGAGCTGAGGCCTGAAGGAGGTGAAAAGGGAGCAACTAGAGTTCTAGGCAGAGTGAACAGCTTGTGCAAAGGCCCTGGGGCAGAAACTGTGTGGAATGTCCAGGGAATAGTGAGGAGGCTATTGTGGCTGGAGCAGAATGAGTGAAGAGTAGAGTGGGAGGTCACGGGGCAGCGCCTTGTGGGATGTAGTGAGGACTTTGGCTTTTCCTCATGGAGTAAGCTGGGGTCCTGAGCAGAGGAGGGATGTGACCTGACTCGAGTGTTTACAGGCTCCTTTGGCTGCTGAGGGGGAAACAGACCAAGGGGCAAAGACAGGAGCCAGGGCCCTGGCCAGGTTGCTCCGTTGTTTGGAGCGTTGTCCTGTGCACCATAACGTTGTAGGTTTGATTCCTAGTCAGGGCACATACCTAGGTCGTGGGTTCAACCCCTAGTTGGGGTATGTGGGTGGGGAAGCTGATCGATGTTTCTCTCTCTTTTCCTCCCTCTCTCTGGAAAAAAAAAATAAGACTGGAGCCAGGGCCAGACCAGAGGTGACTGCGCTGGTCCAGGCAAGTGATCAGGAATGGTGGCCAAAGAGAGGCTGAGAAGTGTACCAATTCTGAGTAGATTTGGGCGGTGGGGCTGATTTGAGGTGCAGCACCAAGGAGGACCCCTCAAATTTTGGGGTGCGCACTGTTACTACGTTAACCTGTTTAGCCAGTCCTCCCCATGTCATCTCTGTGAGGGCAAGTCACGTTCTGTCTGGGCCACAGCACTATTGCCAGCACCTGCAACAGGGCCTGGCTCACAAAGTCTCTCAGTAACTGTTTGATTTCTGCAATTCCTTGTTTCCCAACTCTTTTGGGGTGTCTCTCTCTTTAGTGTCCTTTATCTACCCCTCATCTCTGCCAGGAATTCCCTTGGCCCCCTTGTTTCTCTTAACCTCCACAATGCCATGTCAGTGCCCCTGACTGCATTTCTCCCTGCCACTGCAGCTTCGAGGCAGAGAATGGGCCCACACCATCGCCCGGCCGCAGCCCCCTGGACTCGCAGGCGAGCCCGGGCCTTGTGCTGCATGCTGGGGTGGCCACCAGCCAGCGCCGTGAGTCCTTCCTCTACCGCTCAGACAGCGACTATGACATGTCACCCAAGACCATGTCCCGGAACTCGTCAGTCACCAGCGAGGCGTGAGCACTCCCTAATCCCACCGGCCAGCTCTTCCAGGCCTGGCTCTATCACAAGCTGCCCTTCCCAGCAAGGAGGGGGGCACCGCCCAAGCCCCCAGACCTGTCCTCCCCAGAGAAGGGTAAACAGCCCCCTTCCCCCTACCAAGGGCTTAGTCTCTTTGTAGCATGTCCACCCAGTGAGTACCCCCCATCTCTGCCCCCCACCCAGCCACACTGAGCCCCTCCCTCAGTTTCAGGCCCCACTCTTGTCCATGTAGTCCCCACCCCCCCACCCTACACATTGGCTGCTGGGGCCTGGCCCCACCTTAGCCTGTGTCTCTAACAAGGAGAGAGCAGCACCCCCCCACCCCACCACTGAGCCCCTCCCTACCACAGCTTCTTCCCACAGTGTCCACTTCTGCTGAGCTTCCTCCAGCCTTTCCTAAGTCAGCCTCCCTTACCATGACCACCTACTGAGGCACGAGCATCCCCTAGACCTGCTCAATCCCCTCCCCTCTCATTGAATCCCCCAGCCCTGCCCTTACCCATCAAGGTATCCACCTCACTGGCCCTCCACAAGCCCTTTTCTGCCCTACGCCCCTCCCCACCCACCCACTGCTCTCACCTGTATGTTCACCTCTCCACCACCCACCTGCACCCTTCTCCCTGGCCTCCATTTCCTTCAGGACCAGCCCCAGTGTGTGTTCACCCTTGTGAGGTGTAAATGCCCTCCCCCCACTGCATGGAGCCCCCTCCCTGCCTACCAGCCTCCCTGGGTCCCACCCCCACAGTGTCCACCCTAGAAAGTTGCTCCTCTGGCACCCCAACCCCAGTCCACTCAGGTCCTTTGGCACCCTGCTGTGAGGACCCCTGACCTACTCCTGTCCTTGATTATAGGTATGCCGAGGACCTCATCGTGACACCATTTGCCCAGGTAAGACCCCTCTCCTAAGGAGGGAAGGGGCTCCAAACCTTCCCCACACTTGGGGGAGGGGTCCAGCCCTAGCTACCCCCTCCTCACTGCCACCCCGGTCCTAGGTGCTGGCCAGTCTCCGGAGTGTTCGCAGCAACTTCTCCCTCCTGACCAATGTGCCCATTCCCAGCAACAAGTAAGTCAGGCTGGGCCCCAGCGACCATGATCATGAGGCTGAGCATACCTGGGTTCCACTCTCAGCTCTGCTGTGTGACCTTAGGCAGGCACTTGATCTCTCTGAGTCTCTATTCAGCCAACAGCTCCCACTTTGCCAGTAAACCATTGCAATTCCAATGCCCACAACACAGAAACCTTATAAACAAAGACCAAGGGGTCTGGATACAGGGTGATGAGGCCACAGGTGGCCATCTGCCCCAGCCTCGGGCCACTCCTGCCCTCATACCAGCTTCCTGGGCAGACAGCATCCTGTGGTGCCTCTGTACCTTCTCCATGAAATGGGAATTTAATACCTCCTCCATTAGATGGCTGCTGTGAGGGATCCAGAGGATGATGTGTTAAAAGTGCTGAACATTGCCCAGCACAGACTAAGTGCTCACTAAATAGGAATAGTTCTTATTTTGGGTCAGGGGTGTGGCTGAGGGCTACCTGTGCCTCTGGGAGTCAGGGAGGGATGGTCAAGGAAGCAGGAACTTTGGAGACATAAGACCTAACCCTAGTGCTGATCAGCCATGTAGCCTCCAGGGAGCTGGTTCACCTCCTTGAGCCTCAGTTTCTTTGTCTGTAAAATGGGTTATTGTGGGGCTCTGTGAAAGGCTGCAATTAGAGTACATGGCAACATGCCTGGGACGCACTGAACGCTCAGAAAAAGGAATATCGGCACTATGCATGGAAAGGAGGTGGCAGGGACCTGGAAGGGCTGGCGCTAGATCCGTTTCATTGCAGGCGATCCCCACTGAGTGGCCCAACCCCGGTCTGCAAGGCCACGCTGTCAGGTAAATAAGCCCAGGGGTAGTGGAAAAGGGCCCTTCTTACTGTCCCGAGGGGGTCCCTCACCCAGGGTCGTTGACTCATCCCCTTTCCTAGCACCCCACTCACCTGGTTGACCGCCATCACCGTGGGCTGGGGCCTTTGTGGGTCTGCCTGTGGATCCTCTCATTCACCACCCCTGCTGCCCCTTCTTCAGAAGAGACGTGTCAGCAGTTGGCCCGGGAGACGTTAGAAGAGTTGGACTGGTGTCTGGAGCAGCTAGAGACCATGCAGACCTACCGCTCCGTTAGTGAGATGGCGTCTCACAAGGTGTGCTGCCTGGCGGGGCCAACCCCTGGGTGGGGCCTGTGGGGTGGGACCAACAGCTGGGTAGAACCTGGGGACGGAACCAGCCACGGGGGTCGGGCCAATCCCTGGGCAGGGCCTGTGGGGTGGGGCCTGGGGCGGAGCTAATGACAGGGTGGGGTCAGTGGGCAGGGCCAATCCGTAGATAGAGTCTGTAGGGTGGGGCAAGCCCTGGGCGGGACCAAACCCTGGGCACAGCTCCGGAACTTCTAGCTGCTACGGATTTTAACTTCTCCCAAGACCTAGGGAGCCTGATGCAGTGGGGAGAGGCGGCTGTGTGTCTGACTGTACATCTGTCCATAGCCATTCATCTTTCTTGGGGTGGGGTTGTGTGCCTGTATGGTCTATGGGTGTGTATCTGTGACTGTGAGTCTGTGTGGCTCTCGATTTGCTGGCTACATATTTGCAGCGCAGGGTTGGGTGTGTACCTAGAGGTTTGTCAGGAGTGGTGTAGAGGTGTGTACCTATGGATGGTGTGTGGGTGTGCACAGGCAATATGCGGGAGTGCGTGCGGGAGTGAGCTGGTCCACACCTGTAGCGTGCACCTCCGTGTATTTGTGACTGTGTGTGTGCACTCACGTGTGCTTGCAGGGCAGCAGGGGAGGGTGCAAGGCTTCTGTGCACAGCCGTGCAGACTGTGCATTGCACAGCTCCAGGGGCACCATTCAGAAAGTAGGCAGTGTGAATGACGCTTCCTGGAGTTGTGCGGTGTGGCAGCAGCCAGTGGGGTGGGGAGGATGCATCTCAGGAAATGAATGTGCAGGTGGGGGGTCTGTTGTGTTGGGGCGGTGCTTATGCCTGTGGGTGGAGATTTGTATGGAACTTACAAGTCTGAGGGCAGTTGTGTCCCTGAGGGTGTGTTGAGCATCTGAGAATGTGACTGTATCTCTGCATGTGAATCTGTGAGTGTGTATCTATGATGGGTGTGTATATGAGTGTGTGCGTATTCCCTTATGCACCTGTCAGGGTATGTTTGTGCCTAAGGCCACATGGTGCTTGTGTTTGTTTGAAAGTCTCTGAAGGTATGTTGACTATGTGTTTATAAGTGTGTGCAGTATCACAGTGTTTGTCCCTCCATGTGTGTCTCCATGTCTGGGTGTGGGTCTGTGTTCTTGGAAGGGGTATGTCTGAAGGCATATGTATCTCTGCATAGACATCTGTGTACCTATAAATGTGTTGCACATCAGAGTTGTGACTGTGTGCACAGGACTGAAAGCACCTGGGTATCTGTGTGTGTTCAAGTGTGTCAAGTGCCGACTGTGTTAGTGTGGAAGGTGTGTCTCAGAGTGTCTGTATGTGTGTGCATGCAGAGCATCTGAGTGTTTGTCTTTGTCTCTGGGTGTGTCCATGAGGGGGTATGTCCTTGAGCGGGTGTGTACTGCCCTGCCTCTCCCGGCCCTACTTGGGTCCCGGCTGAGGTCTGTGGGCTCTGATGCCCCTTTAACGCCCCCCCACCCCCGGCACCAGCTGACATCACATGCAGCCTGCCAGTGCTGCAGTGAGCACGCACACACACAGGCACACACACAGAACCCAGAGCCTCTGAAGCTGCCTCCTGGGACCCTCACCCTTCCCCTCCATGGGCAGAGGTCCCTGGCCACCTCCAGTCGCTGCTGTGGGGGGGCCCATAGGGGCCAGGGGCTGGCAGACCATGTAACCCGGGCTGCTACCGGGAGCGCGGAGGGGAAGGGAGCCCCCAGCCCCGCTGGGCCGGCCCAGGCCCCTCCGCGGCTCCCCCTTCCACTGCCCACCCGCCCAGCACCCCACCCCCATCCCAGACGGCGGCTGTTAACCCCAGGACTCCCCAAGCTCAGCCTCTGTGTGTGGCAGCCCTGAGCAGGGCTAAGACTCCAAGATGCCCTTGGTGGATTTCTTCTGCGAGACCTGCTCCAAACCATGGCTGGTGGGCTGGTGGGACCAGGTAGGGGACCTCACAATGGTAGATGGTCAGGAGATCTGGGCTTGGCCCTCTGACCTCTGACCCTTCAACCTTGGTCTGGACTTATGTGTGTGCAGCTGTGCACGTGTGTGGCCTGAAGATGAATGCTTCTAACTGTGGCTCTGTGTGTGGCCCAGGGCTAGGCATAAATGGTGGGTGGCTAGGGGTGGGGTCTCTCTGGGTGTGACTGGCAGTGCACATATGTGTGTATCTGCGATGGTGTGGGGGCCGTCTGTCTGTATGCTTGTCTGCCTGGGTCATGGCATGGCCCTGTCTGAGGTCTTATGGCTCTGATTGTGGTGTTGTGTGTTGGGCATGTTTGTGAGTGCAAAACTGTGTGATTTTTCTGGGACATGTGACCCTGAGTGTCAGTGACCACTGTGCTGTACATGCCCCTTGATTTGCATGTCTGGGGCTGTGTGAACCATGTTACATAGGAATCTGTGTCTGTGTGTGGTTGGTGACTTTGTGGGTCCATCTTGCGTGTGTCTGTGTTTCTCCCTCACTTTATGTGTGCCCAAGGTCTCCGGGCAGCACTGGCTGGAGTGAGCGCTCTATCCAGTGTGGGCTCTCAGGTTCACCCTTCCTGCCTAGTGTCCCTCCTGTGTCTGTGATCAGAGTTGGCTTCTGCTTTGGGGGTGATTTGACAAAGCTTGGGGGTGGGGAGCTGATGCCCTTTTTCCTCCTTGCACAATGTCACAGCAGATACTCTGTGAAGTGGCTTGGGGGAACCATGAAGGGCCCCTTAGCCGGGTTCTGGGTATACTCCATTCATCTGTGCATCTGGCCACCCCCTGTAGCTAGGGAAGAGGGGACTATATGGGAACCCCCTCCCCTGGGTGACCCAACTAGGGTTTCTTTAGCTCGCTATTGTCTCCTGACCCAGCCAAACCTTTTCTTCACCCAGAACTTGGGAACTGTGTTCCCTTCTTCCAGACTGGGCTGGGTGCTAGGTGCTGGGGGCCAGGACCCCCAGAGCATGGTGTCAATGCTTCCAGAGACAGAGGCCAGCAGTAGCTCTGGGAGGGCAAGTGTTAAGGGGCCTGCGGCCTGCCCCCCTTTCCCCCAAGCTCAGCAGCTGGTTGGAGGGGGAGTTGCTAAGGAGACTCCCATCACCATGGCAATGGGATTCTCCTGATATCCCATTGGTTCCCTGTTAGTCAGGAGCCCCTCCCTTTCACAGGTGTTCCTCTGGCTCCTCCTTAGGGGGAAGAGTGTGAGAGTATGGGGAGGGGAGCCCCCCTTCCTCAGGCAAGGAGGGATATGCTGGATCCTGACTCCTCAAGCCTGGGGACCCCCATCCAGAGCTGGGAGGAGAAGAGGGGCTGACCCCTCCCCTCTGGCAGCCTGCTGGGGGCTGTTAGCTTAACAAGGAAGTGGGAGGGACTCATGGGGTCTTCAGAAGTTTCTTGGGTGAGGCTGACTTCCCCCATTTTCTGTGACCCCATCATTCCTTCCTTCTTGCCTCCTTCACCTTAGTTCAAGAGGATGCTAAACCGTGAACTCACACACCTGTCAGAGATGAGCAGGTCAGGAAACCAGGTCTCTGAGTACATCTCCACCACGTTCCTGGGTGAGTGAAGAGCAGCCTGAGGCAGGCGTACACACCTGGGCTGGAGGGGTCCCTATAGACCCCGGGGTCATATTGCCCACCTTTGCCCAACAGACCCTGACTTGAAACTTTCCAAAGGTCAAAGTCACCAGTTTAAGAGCTCCCATACTCATGATGCTCCCAAATTCAGTGGGACCCCAACTTCTATAAAACCCCACATTAAAAATTCTCTCCAAACTGAAAAGCTCTCCCAGATTCAGCAGAACTCTGAAAATCATGACTCCCTCCAGAAAACCCAAACAAATAAAATTTCTAAACTTGAAAATGCCTCCAAGCTGCCCTGGCCAGGTGGCTCAGTTGGCTGGAGCGGTGTCCTGTACACCAAAAGATCACAGGTTTGATTCTTGGTCAGGGCACATGCTAGGACTGTGGGTTTGATCCCTGGTTGGAGCATGTACAGGAGGTAACCGTTTCTTGTTTCTCTCTCAGATCGATGTTTCTTTCTCTTTTCCCTTCCCCTCTCTCTAAAAATCAACAAGCATATCCTGGGGTGAGGGTTTAATAAATAAATACATTGAGGGGGGATGCCTCCAAGCCAAAAATCCCCACAACAGCCAATAGAAACTGCAAACTTGTATTCTTCCCAAAATTTATGAGGGCCCCTCAAACTCAAGAAAGATGCCTAAACTCAGTGGGATTCTCAAATATAAGGGAATTTCTACCCTGAATAATCCATAAAAGACCCTGAACCTTTAAAAAACCTCCAAACTGAAAAGTCCCAAAAATTCAATAGAATCCCCAAATTTTTATGACCCCCTCAAATTCAGTTGACTCCTCAAACGTTAGATACCCCAGCTCAATAGAATTCTCAAGCATAAGAACCTGGAAGAGATTCCCCAAATTTAGGAGAATTTACTAACTCAGTGGAACCCAAAGCTCAGGAGGACCTCCAATTCATCCTAACCTCTGAATCCAAGAGCCCAAGCTGAGGATATTCCCCACAAACTCAGGATAATTTTACCCTCATAATTTATTACCAAAGATTCCCAAAGTCAGGAGACTTGCCCCTCCCCACAAAGCTTAAGAAAAGGTTCTGATTTTCAAATACTCCCTCCAGTGGGGGTGTGGCATCCAAGTTCTGAGATCCAGCCAATGGGAGCATGGCATGCAAATGATCCTGGTTAGGCCCTGTCATTAACCAGAGGGCCCCAGGTCACAGTGGGTGGCCCTGGCTGGGCTCTGGAAGCCCTTGATAGTTAAGGAAAAGGGCTCCAGTGTCTGGCTCCCAGGCATGCTGGTGTTACAGGGTAGGGGTCAGGGTCCATGGAGAAACCACCCGTCCCTTCCTCCTTCCAGCAATCTCTACCCCCACCAGCATTCTCTGTCACCATGGAGGTGTCTTCCCATCCAGGGAAAGGTCCCTGCCTATTAGGGCAGACAGTGGCTCTCTCTAGCATTGCCACTGCAGCTCTAGCTTCTAGCAGGCCTTAAAGTCCCTACTGCAGCCCACAATCTCCAAGAAAATTCCTACATCCCCTCTGGTGTCCAGCCTGTGAGTAACCAGCAGCATAATACCCAGAAGGGAGCTGCCCTCCTGGGTGAGACTTCCCAGAGAAAATGGCATGGGGGCTGAAGGGCAGATGAAGGAGTCTCTGAGGGGGACCCATGCTTGCTCTCCTCCATCTTCTACAGACAAGCAGAATGAAGTAGAGATCCCATCACCCACAATGAAGGATGGAGAAAAACAGCAAGCACCTCGCCAGAGACTCTCCCAGCAGCCTCCGCCCCATGGGTCACAGTTCCAGCCCATGTCTCAGATCATGGGGGTGAAGAAGCTGATGCATAGTAGCAGCCTGACTGATTCCAACGTACCCCGCTTTGGGGTGAAGACAGATCAAGAGGAGCTCCTGGCCCAAGTGGGTGGGGACTCAGCAGGGACTGGGCTGAAGGGAGGCAGGGTTCTTGGGGAAGGACTGGGTGTTAGGTTAGCCTGAGATAAACATTGGGGTGTGCAGGTCCCTCAGCTATCCAAAAAGCACAGCATTCCCATGAAATCTTTCGTAAACACAAATGACGTAAAATGAAGAAGCAGTTATCATTAACATGTCTTTATTTTGTTTATGATCGAAACAATTATGTCCAGTTTTACACCAAATTTAACACCCTTACGAGCTCTCTTAAGCTTCTCCAATACCCTAGGACACATCTTGCTAATGGATGCACAAAATAAATTTGGGTAAAGCACAGATACTCGCAGACTCAGTTCAAAACTCTGGTGACCGGATACTGGGTGCGGAGTGCAGTCCCCGGGGCGGGAGCTGGGCGGCGCTGCTCTCCCGCTCAGGATGCTGCCGCCTCTGTAGCAGCTATTGCGAAACAAGCGCTGAACACTGTTTTCTGTTTTTGATTTTTACCTTTTTTTGTAAAAGCAAAAATCCTCTTTGGGTTTCTTCCAGTTAGCAAAAACAGGTACTAATGTAGGTCTTTCGTAAAAGCCAGTGGCATAATGCGAACTTTCTGAGACTCTGAGGAGCAGGAGAGGGAGGAGCTAAGTAAGGCAGTGGTCTCAGCTCCAGTCCTGCTTCGGCCTGACCCCACATGTGTGTGTGGGGCGGGGGGGGAGGGCTAGCCTGTGAACGGCACGGTGGAGTTGACCCTGCCTTGAGGGAAGACTGTTGGCCTCTGTGTCAGTCACTGGCTGGGAGTGGTCCCCAGGGTGTTGGCATCATCCCGTCATGTAGTTTCTTCAGAGGCAAAAACAGTTTTCTGGAGAATGGGGCAGCTGTGAGCCTTAGAAGCAACAGTCCCAGCAGCTTGGAGATGGGAGCAGTGGCCAGTAAAAGGGACCTGGACAGAGCCCCTATAGTGTGCACTGCAGGCCAGACCTGCGTTTGGCTCCTGGCTCTTCCAAGAGACCTTGAGGCAAGGGTCTCTCACATTGATTTGTACAATAGGCGTGATACTCTCAGTGGCTTGCTGAGCTGTCATGTATAGTAACCTTCTGCGAGCTGACACGCCAGTGCTACCCAGCATTGATTGAGCACCTGCTATGTGCTGGCACTGTTCCAGATCCTCGGAAGACATGGAAAGTTGGCTTGTGTTTATTTCCTTCTGGTGCCCATGAGCAGCTTAGCTCAGTGGCTACAAGGTCTTGGTCACTTCTCTGCCTCTGCCAAGTGAGTCCAAGTGCTTAGTGCAGTGCCTGGCAGATAATAAGCACTCAGTAGACAGTCGCTGTGGTTGCTTTGTTCTTTCTCGGTCCAGTAGGACCTGGGCAGTAGATTCTGTGCTGCTGAGCATGCCACCCACAGGATAAGCAATAATGGTGCCTTCTGCAGACCTAAGTTTTGCAGTAAAGAGTTTGGAGGGCCCTGGGCCTCACAGATTCCTGATCTCTGGCTGCCATCTCCCCCAGGAACTGGAGAACCTGAACAAGTGGGGCCTGAACATCTTTCATGTGTCGGACTATGCCGGGGGCCGTTCCCTCAGCTGCATCATGTACACGATATTCCAGGTAGGGTGGACTGCGTGGGGCAGGGTGGGGGGGCAGTATGAGGGCGGGGGGCCAGGGTGGGGAGCTAAGGGGTAGCGGGGGTCACCGCCCCTCCATACCTGCCCTCAGGAACGAGACCTGCTGAAGAAGTTTCACATCCCAGTGGATACAATGGTGACATACATGCTGACCCTGGAGGACCACTACCACCAGGATGTGGCCTACCACAACAGCCTGCACGCTGCCGATGTGCTGCAGTCCACCCATGTGCTGCTGGCTACACCTGCACTGAACGTGAGCTCCGCCTGCCTGGCCCCCTGCCTCCCAAACTCCGTCCTTGACTAGCCATACCTGATCTCCTGTTATCTCTCCAGCCCTGGGTCTCTGACCTCCGTCTCTCTCCAACCCCATACCTCTCTCTGATCCTTATCTTTTTCTCCTGACCTCCATCTTTCTTGAACCCCCATCTCTCTTACCCTGTCTCTCTGCGCCCCCTGCCCCCGTATTTCTAACCCCTGTGTCTCTCTGACCCCCTCTCTGCCTCCAGGCTGTATTCACAGACCTGGAGATTCTCGCAGCCCTCTTTGCAGCTGCCATCCACGATGTGGACCACCCTGGGGTCTCCAACCAGTTCCTCATCAACACCAGTGAGTGGCCCTCTAAGGGTGTGGGGCCCGTCAGGATGGAGGCAGCCCTGTGGGTCCTTCCTTCCCCTGACCCCTGACCCACCTGGGTTGCAGATTCAGAGCTGGCACTCATGTACAATGACGAGTCGGTGCTGGAGAACCACCACCTGGCTGTGGGCTTCAAGCTGTTGCAGGAGGACAACTGTGACATCTTCCAGAACCTCAGCAAACGCCAGCGGCAGAGCCTGCGCAAGATGGTCATTGACATGGTAGGTGAGACAGGGCAGGAAAGGTGGCCTTTGATGGGTGGTGCTTTGGGAAGGTCTGAGTTTGAGAGGGAAAAGCCTCTGGGGGAAGAGGCATCTTTTGGTGGGACTCATGGGGACAGATTGTCCCCTGTGAAGCTTCAGAAGCTCTGGGTGGTCCAGTGATTTGGTGGAAGTTTCAGTGGCCCCTCTGGTGGCGCCTTGCCCACAGGTGCTGGCCACGGACATGTCCAAGCATATGACCCTCCTAGCTGACCTGAAGACCATGGTAGAAACCAAGAAAGTAACCAGCTCAGGAGTCCTTCTGCTGGACAACTACTCTGACCGCATCCAGGTGCTCCCTTTACACGTCGTATAAGACTGGTCTCTTCCCTTCCCCCCCACCCTTCAGATCTGGGTTGCTGCCTCCCTGTCATCCTCCAGCTCCCTTCTTGCCCATTTTCCTGTTTTCCTCTCCCCCCTTTCATCTTCCCCTTCCATCCCACATCTCTCCTTCCCATTGCCCCTCACCTCCTGCCATCTCCCCCAGTTCTTTCTTCCTTTTATCAACCCTTCCCCTCCCCTCTTCCCCACCATCTCCTCCACCTTTGCCTCCCAACTCCCTCCTCTTTCCCCCATCTCTCCATCTCCACCCACCTCTCTCTCTCCTTCCTCTTTCTCCTCCTTCCCCCCATCAACCCTTTCTTACCCCCTCCCTTCTCTCCCTGACTTACCCCCCTCTTTATTCCTCTGTTTCTCTTGGTCTTCCCCCTACCCCTCCTCCCCACTCTCCCAAGAGGGGGAAGGTGAGGAAGCCTGAGGCCTCAGACTGAGACAGGAGCACAGCCCCTGAAGCTCCCGTGCCCCATGCAGGTCCTGAGGAACATGGTGCACTGTGCGGACCTCAGCAACCCCACCAAGCCGCTGGAGCTGTACCGCCAGTGGACAGACCGCATCATGGCTGAGTTCTTCCAGCAGGGCGACCGTGAACGTGAGCGTGGTATGGAGATCAGCCCCATGTGCGACAAGCACACAGCCTCTGTGGAGAAGTCTCAGGTACAGTTTCAGGGCACCAGCCTCTTGCCCCACCCTGGCCTGGAGCTTCGAGGCCCAGGAGGTCCTGACCTGCCCCGCTGTCACATCAAGTCTTAGTTTGTTTTCTTCTTTTCTATCTTAATGGGAAATATGCAACATTTTCTTCTACCTAGAACAACTAAACTGAGCCTTGGGCACACAGGCCTCATTCAGAGAGTCGTAACTCATTTGCAGCAACCGTGGTATTATCAGTGGTAATACTTAGCTGCACTTCAGTTACAGACCTCATGTTGACTCAGCCTGTTGCCGATATCCTCACCTGTCTGGTGATGTGGCCCCTAATTTTCAGAGGATTTTGAAATGGGATGAATTGACTGGTCTTCATCCAGTGCCTGATTAATTTAACAAAGAGGGACAGGAAAGCAGTGTCCTTAAAGTGTCAACACTGAAGTGTGAATGTAAGAGTCTGTCGCCCTCCCCACTTCTGGCCCCCTCCCAGTGAGACTCACCTTCCCCAGTTCAGTGTATGTGCCCTTCCAGACCGGGATTGTCCAGCCTCAGCTCCGTTGACAGTTGGGGCCAGGCCACTCTCTACTGTGGGGGCCATCCTGCGCATTGTATGGTGTTGAGCATCATCCTTGGCCTCCACCCCCTGGATGCTGGGAGTACCCTCCTCTTCCAGGTATAACATTCAGATGTCTCCTGGGCCAGCAGATCACCCCCACCCCTGATGAAAACCAGTTTCATAGTTCTGTTATGTAGTTATTTTCACAGGCAACTTAACTTTTAGCTCTTTTAAAAAATATATTTTTTATTTATTTATTTTTAAGACAGAGGGGAAGAGAGGGAGAAAGGGAGAGAAACATCAATGTGTGGTTGCCTCTTGCATGTCACCAACTGGGGACTGGGTCTGCAACCCAGGCATGTGTCTTGACTGGGAATCGAACTGGCGACCCTTTGGTTCACAGGCCAGCACTCAGTCCACTGAGCCACACCAGCCAGGGCACTTTTAGCTTTTTTAAAAAAAAGATGTTTTAAGTTTATTTTTACAGAGAGGGGAAAGGAAGGAGAAAGAGGGAAACTTATGTGCAATTAGTTGCCTCTCTTTCACCCCCACCTGGGGACCTGGCCTGCAACCCAGGCATGTGCCCTGACTGGGAATCAAACTGACGACCTTTCGGCTCACAGGTGGGGTGATTCTCAATCCATTGAGCCACACCAGCCAGGGCTAGCTTTTTAAAAAATATAAATTATATTAATATATACCCATTTTATACATCTTGCCCTTTCTTTTCAACAATGACTTAAAAATCTGTCCAAGTTATTTCAGCAGATTTAGCTCACCCAGATATAGAAAAATAACAGTTTGTGTAGTCACCCTCCCCCCGTCAATAGTCATTTTAGTGTTAAGGAGTTAGAAATTCACAGTGACTTGGCCCTGGTCAGGTAGCTCAGCTGGTTAGAGCATCATCCTAATACACTAAGGTTGTGGGTTTGATCCCTGGTCAGGGCACATATAAGAATTAGCCAATGAGTGCACAAACAAGTGGAACAACAAATCCATGTTTCTCTCTCCCTCCCTTCCTATATCTCTCTAAAGATCAATTTTAAAAAATGAAATTCACAGTGACTCAAACAAAATAAAGCTTTTTTTCCTTTTATATAAGAAAAGCCTAGAGAAAGGGAGTTGGACTTTCTGCAGCTCCATGAAATCAGCAGACACCCAGAGCTTTCAGTGATTCTCTTCTGTCCTCTAAAGAGTGGGGCTTCTGTCCCCAGAGGTACCTCTCACGGTCACAGATACTGTTGAAGCCCCAGCCATTCTGACTACATTCCAGGGAAGAAAGCCCTCTGCTAGCTGCTGCAGCGCCCCTTGCAGGACCCTGACGCAGCATCTTCTGTCTGCAGGTGGTCTCATGGCTATCTTCACTTTGCAAGGGAGGCTGGGAAATGCAGTTTTCAGCTGGAAGCATTTTATCCCCAAGGAAAATAAAATCAAGATTCTGCCAATAGAAAAGTAGGGAAGATGATATCCGGGTGTTAGTCTACCACAAAGTTATTTCTAGTTTCTCTTTGGTGCAAAAGATGCCATAATGAATATCTGCGGGAACCACATTAAAAACAAATCTCCCATAGATGTATATATGGAGGTGTTTCCAGTTTTTGTTACATTTCATGTGATTCTTTTTTTGTTATTTATGCAAGAATTTTTCCAGGGTAGATTTGGAGGAGCAAGAAAGCTGGGTCAAATGATATCAGCATTGTTTAAATTTTATCAGATCCCGCTGTGACCAGTGTGGCTCGATTGGTTGGGTGTCGTACTGCAAAGTGACAGGTTGCCAATTTGATTCCTGGTCAAGGCACATGCCTAGGTTGTGGCCCAGTCCCTGGTTGGGGTGTGTGTGAGAGGCAACCAATCAATGCTTCTCTCATACATCAATGTTCCTCTCCCTTCCTCTCTCTCTAAAAATAAATAATAAAATATTTATATTTTATCAGATTCCCCAGCATGGCAGTGCCGTCTGTACCAGCGAGCCGCCAGTTTATTATGCCTTCTTCTCCCTCCCCCAGGTGGGTTTCATTGACTATATTGTGCACCCACTGTGGGAGACTTGGGCTGACTTGGTCCACCCAGATGCCCAGGAGATCTTGGACACTTTGGAAGATAACCGGGACTGGTACTACAGTGCCATTCGGCAGAGCCCATCGCCACCACCTGAGGAGGAGCCGGAGGGGCCAGACCACCCACTTCCACCTGAGAAGTTCCAGTTTGAGCTGACGCTGGAAGAGGAAGAGGAGGAGGTGCCTTCTGCCCTGGGTGCGATTGAGGTGCAGGAATTATTCGTGGCCCAGGATGCATCCCCAGCTGAGGAACTGTGGGAGGTCGATGGCCAGGATCTGCCCACGGAGGTGGTGGTAGACGAAATGTCCTTGACACAGCAAGCAGACAGTGTGGCAGTGGGCCAGGACGAGTCGACATCCCCAGATGTGTCTGTGGGTGCCATAGGCTGCAGCAGCCCTCCTGCCCTGACTCCTGAAAGCCCCACTCTGCCTGCCTTGAGGACCCCACCCACTCCAGAGGGGGCCCCGGGCCTCCTGGGCCTCCCCTCCATGGCAGCCGAGGTGGGGGCCCAGAAAGAGCATCAGGCTGCCAAGAGGGCATGCTGTGCCTGCACAGGGACATCGGGCGAGGACACACCCACGCTCCCAGCCCCTGGTGGGTGGGGGTCTGCTGGAAGCCCTACCTGAGCCCCGGACCCTATACTCTTTTGCCCTCCCTTCCTCCTTTCACCATTATCATCCCCCAACTGCCTCCTTCACTGCCTCAAAGACTCTTGGGCCTCCTAAGAAAAAAGAAAACAGAAAAGTGTTTTTTTTTCTCTTTTCTTTTTTTCCCCTCTCCCCCCACACCCAGCCCCACCCATGAGGCCGCTTTTTGGAGGTGGGGCCTGGGGAAGGAGGGGCTGAGGTCCTGGAAGGGGTTTTATTTTTGGAATTTTCATTGTTACATTTTTAGAAAAAAAAGAAAAAAAGAAAAAAAAAACAGGATGAAACACAGCAACTGTAGATGCTCCTGTTCCTGGCTTCCCTGGTCCATCTCCTACCCCACCCCCACCCCTCCCAGGTCCCAGGCTCAGTCTTCCAGCCTCTGTGGGCTCTCCACCTGGGCCCAAGCTGGCGTAAGGTCTCCTTCCAGGCTCTCCTGAAGTTTGGAGGGTTTCTGGAATCCAGCCAGGAATAGCCATTCTGGGCAGTGGCCTGGTGGGGGAGAGTCACTGTGAGAGGCCCCAGCTCTAGCCCCTCTCAGGCTCACTGCCCGCCCGCCTCCAGAAGTCTTCCACCTCATTTTGCACAAACCTGGCAATACTGACTTGGAAGGACATGAGATACCTAGTGTATCTTAGGTTGCTGGGAGGAGAGAACATTGGAGGGACATTCATACCACCAGCCTGGGGTCTGGGGTTTGAGGAGGGCTGAGCTCCCTCTGCTTGCCATCCCTTTCCCCTTCCATGTCAGGTTTCCTTTGAATTTTATCCATCTGCGGGGACAGCTCTGAGCTGCACCCCCTTCTTCCAGCTGCTTCTCCTCTTGTTTCTGCCTTAATGATTCCCACGGCCATAGGAGAGGGTTGCAGTGGCTCCCACCTGCACCTTGGGTGGGGTGGGGCCAGGCCCAAAGCCCCCATCCTAGGCGCCCCCCACCCCAGCATCCTCCTGCTACCCTCCCCAACCCTTTGCCCTAGGAGGAAGCAATAATGGTGTACACCTACATTCCCTTTCTGGGCATCCCTTCCCACCCTGGCACCAAAGTCATTTCTCCTTTGTCTCACTTTGCCAAGCCTCCCTCTCTCCCCCTAACAATCCCCCCTGCCCTGAGCAATATGACAGACAGATGCAAGACCATTTTTCTTCAAGCCATGGGGGAATGTTGGGAAGGAAAGATCCCCTCTTCCATCTCCCCTATACCCCTTGGCCTGGTTCTGCAGTTGGGCAGGGCAGGGCCTGTCTCATTGCCCCCACTTCTCCAATTCTGAGCACACGGTACTGTAGTCTCCTTCTTCCCCCCAGCCTGCCATCTGTCTATCCCACTGGGGAGTATACTCTCCCCCACCCTCATCATACTGTACAGGGTTCATTTTTGTAGTGAAAGTAGTTTCTGTCCTAGCTGGCAACCGGGGTGGGCCTTTTTTTGGTTTCCTTTTTTTTTTCCTTCCTTCTTCTTCTTCTTTTTGTACATACTGTAAGGTTTGTTTGTAAATTATTCTGCAGAGGCAAAAAGGGAAAATAAACTTGCCCATCCCTGGCTGACCTGGTCAGGGGAAAGAAGGGTGGGGATCTCCCAGTGGGAGAGTCCCTATTCCTGCTGTATTATACAAACTGTACCATAGACCCCAAAAGTGTGGGCTCAGCGCTGTTGTTTGGTGGGAGAGTTAGTTCATCTAGGGGGTGAGGGCTGAGCAGAGCCTGTCCCTCCCCCTTCCCCAGGGCTGGGCGGGACTGGCTACAATCCATATGGACCGTCCCACCCCCAATCAGGGCTCCTCCATCCAGGGAGGTTACAGAGGACCCCTTGAGTGTTGTCCACTCTGACTATCAGTCAGTCCATTGATCGAGAAGCAATCCTTCGATCTTGTCTCCAATTAAACCGAGGCTTTCACCAGTCTTCCTGGCTGATGTGGCTTTCTTGTTCTTCAGGTGCGCCTCTCCCGCACTGTCGGCCTGGCGCGGGAGGTGAGGGGAAGGGAGGCTCTGGCCTTATCCCTCCTCAAGTAGACAGAACTTAAGGGGGTTGCAGTGAGCTTGGGGGAAAGCAGCTTCCAGACATGAACCAGATCCTGGCATGGGGGACTCCAGGTTGTAAAATAAAGGTTGAGACCATGCAGTCTTTGGAAGCCAGCAGACCCAGGCGGCCTTGCTTCTCTCATGTAGAACATGTCTGACACAGCTTGGGTCCTTCTGGAATCTCAAAGTCACCCCTGGAAACCTCCAGAAGGCCTGATTGACACCTTCACCATCTGGCTGTCAGGTCACGATAAAAGGTCTCGGGTCAAATTCTGCCATGTAGACATTAAACTTGATATCCAGGCACAAAAGAATTTACAACTGAATTCCCAGCATTCATCCATGTTGGTGTTGCAACTTTCACGTTGCATGAAAACAAAACCTGGAAACAAACCTGAATATTTTAAAGGCAGGATTCTGTGTTGCTTTGGGCCTATAAGTCTCATGGGTGTCAAGCAGGCTGAATACTCCAAATTAAAGACTGGACACAGAACAGGCTTCAGTTACAAACTCTGTTTTCTGACTTGTACATACAAGGTTGGGGAGTGAGTGAGTCTCATATTTTAACCAATTCACATATTTTAATGGTGTTAATTCCACCCATGGGAGCCCCTTTTCCAACCTTTATCAGGCTAATTAACAAGCCCCTGACTTCACCAAATAGTGTTAACATTCTCTATGCTAATGAGCAAAACTTCCCAGGTGGATAGAGATATGGATAGCGGAAGTGTTTGTGATGTGGCTGCCTCTGGGGTATAATAAACAGATACATAAACACACAGTGCTTAAGCACTGTGTGGTCGGTAGATGTACATATTACAGCATGTGTCTTCTGAAACAAAATGGCGGCAGCTTCCTCCAGTCTTAGGAAAGGTTGACCCACCTACTTACTCTGCCATCAGTCACTAGTACCAGGGATTAGTGTGGATCCCAGCTCTAGGTATGCGCCCTTGGGTGTGATCTCTTTGACCTTCAGTTATCTCATCTGTAAGACAAAATAAAAAATCTCAGATTCACGGGGTCAGTCTCAAGCAGAGTTGTCCAGTGAAACTGTCTATGAGGATGGGAATGTTCTACTTCAGTGCTATCGACACGGTAACCACTAGCCACATGTCGCTATTGAGCACTTGAAATATGGCTACTGCAACTGGGGAACTGAGTTTTAATTTTTCTTCTTGTTAAGTAGCTGCATGTAGCCAATGGCTACTGAATCAGACTTCAGAGTTCTGGAACTTAAGTGAGAGAGTGAATGTAGAGGATTAAGCGCATGCAAAGGTTCACCTGTTTGACTGTGGTTTAAAGATATCTACAGTAGATATCTTTAGACCACAGTCAGAGAGGAGGGGCAAAGCTGGAAAACTAGCTAGAAGTTTCCAGGGAATCTGAACTTTGTGCAAGAAGCAAAGAGGAGACACAACTGTTTCCCCAAGGGCGTTTCAAGGGGAGACAGTCGGAGAGAGGGTGTGGGGCTGGGGCGCAGGAGGCAACAGTGCTAACCCCAGGCTGCTAGAGATGGCCAGGTGAGTCCAGGCTATCCTTTTTACTCCGGATTTCAGTTTCCCTGAGTGTAAAAGGACAGGCGTGATGTCCCAAATGCCTCTTGTGTTGGGACAAAGTTGACAGGCTGAGAATGTGGGTCAAAGGGCAGAGGTGGCATGTGACCATCACCAGCTCTTTAAAATCCTCCTGGTGGGGAGTTCATTATTCCTCAGGCAAAGGTGACCAAGGGCTGGGAGACCTTGTAATATGAACAGAACTGGGGATACTGGGGGAGGGGTGGAGGCAGTTAATGCTCTGAAGTTGACATCAGCCATTTGCAGGCTACCTGGTCTTCAGCAAATTGCTCCACCTCTCCCAGCCTTTCCAGGGCTCCAAACTCATTAGGATTATTTTATTTACTCTCCAGCAATCCTTGAGGTATGTACTAATATAGGTAGTATGTTGCAGATGAGGAAACTGAGTCCAAGAAGTGATCTCACAGCATTGAGAAAATGCCAGGAAATGAGGCCGGGTTCTCACCGGGAGCCCAGTGCCTGTTCCACAATGATAGCTACCCAATATTTTTTGTATCATTACTGCTCTTTCATTTCACATGCACAAAATCTTGAGTTGTGGGTAATACAAACGAAGAGCACTTCCTTTTTTATCTATTGGCTAATAACAAATATATGAACTATTCCAAGGGGAGCAAACACTTTCATAGCTCGTTAGTGTTAGCAGAAGCTGGCACACAGCTTTCCAGGAGTGATCTGATGATATTTGTCAAAAAACATAACAACTGTGGCCATGGCCAGGTGGCTCAGTTGGTTGGAGAGTTGTCCTGTATACCAAATGGTTGTGGGTTTGATTCCCAGTCAGGGTACCTACTGAGGTTGAGGGTTCAATCCCTGGTCGAGGCATGTACAGGAAGCAACCCATCAATGTTTCCCTCTCATATCAATGTTTTGCTCTCTCCCTCTCTCTCTCCAAAATCAACTTTTTAAAAAACATATCCTTGGATGAGGATTAAAACATAAAATATTTTTTAAAAATTTTAAATGTAACAACTGTGCATGCATTTTGACCTAGCCATTGCAGTTGGTTGTGACCTTAAGATGTGGGTACAAAATGCTCATTTTACTGTTGGTCAGAATATTGAAAAATTTATTAAAGACCCAGATGTCCAATCTAGGGATTCATTAAATCAGGCTTCCTATTATTATGGAATTATATGCAGCCATTAAAAACAATGAGATGAGCCTATATTGAAATGAAAAGACGTTTACCATGAGAAGGGCAGGTTTCAAAATGTTCTACATTACATGATCCTACTTAAAAACAATATGTACATAGAAAAGGCACCTTGTCCATCTAAATATTAACAGTTCTCCAGTGGTGGGATTAAAAGAGATCTGTATTTTCTGTTCTGTAGTCTTAGATATTTTCTGAATTTTAGCAGTGAGCATGTATTACTTTTATAATCGAGAGGAAAGTTATTGCATAATTAGAAGAAAGAAATAACAGCCAGTAGTTGTTCTCTGGGAGCCACAAAAGCATGGTAAGGGAAGCACAGAGGCTCCGGATTCAGCTTGCCTGGATTCTAGCTCTGACTCTGCCAGTTAATGACTGGGTTAGTCCGAGCAGTTACTTACCGGCTCTGTACCTCAGTTTCCCTCATAAAATGCAAATATATACTAGCTGTGGTTTACCAGGTGACTACCATATGCCAGGCACTTAATTCTCACAAGAGCCTATAAAGTAGATACTATTATTATAAAATGGGTTATAGACCTTCCCTAAGATTCCTGCCTGCAAGAGAGAAAAGCCTCAAGACAAAGAACTCAGCACCATTCCCTTCCCTTTCTTCGCCCCGCTCCCCGCCCCTCCTCTTTCTTCGCGAGCGTGAGTCTCCTAAACTCGAAGGCATTGGGCAGCTGGCAGCCTGCCCCAGGCTAACCTCCTGAACCTGTCTCCAAAGCCCCCTTTTCTCTGACTTCCGGGTGAGCTAAAACAGCCCAGCCTAGGCTCTTCTGTTGTTTCTTCTATGCTAAGTCCTTCCTTGTCTTACTGTCCTCGGCTTTAATAAATGTATCCTCATAGACAAAAATAAAAATAAAAATAAAAATAAAAATGGGTCACAGACATAGATTACCAACCTATGGGAGCTGGAGGCCCCAACGCCCCTAAAGTAACGCGGAGGAACTACGGCAGGGCCAATAAGATGCGCAGGCGCAGACTGGGTAGGGGGGCGTGGTGGGGACAGGAGGTAGGTTTTTCCCAGCACTATGATTGGCGGGCCTGCGAGGGGCCGCTACTTCGCCTTTAAACCCGAGGACTCCCGAGGAGGGCCTCTGACCGGAGGTGAGACTACTCAGAAAGTTGAGGTTACCTGATGTCACTCCCTTCCTGAGAGTGACCCCAGTGTCTTTTCCACTTTCTTAGAACCTTAACATCATCCCCTTTTCCTGAGAGTGACCTGACATCATTCCCCCCTGCTTCAGGGTAACACATGACGTCACCCCTTTTTCCTGAGGGCGACCCATGAGGCGTCCACTTTTCCCAAGGAGGATCCAGCCTCCTCTCTCCCTCCTGAAGTGAACCCTAACAGCGTCTCTTCCTCCTGAGAGTGACGACAGCGTCGTCCCCACTTCCTTAGGGCACCCTGGCCTCGATTGCCCTTCCCGAGGGGACCCTGGTCTTAGTTCCCTTCCTGTGGGGCCCCACCATCCGTCCTGAGGGAAACTGGTATCACCCCCTCTTCCTGAGGGGTCCCCTCCCTCGTCTTTATGTCTTCTTAAGTGGACCCCTGCTTATACCCACTTCCTCAAAAGTGCCTACTATCGTTCCTCCTTCCTGAGAAGCAACCTGACACTGTCCCCCGCTTTCCTGATGGTTTCCTATCATTTCTATCCCCGCACCCGGAAAGGACCCATCACCCCCATCACCTTTTCTCTGAGTGTATCC